AAAAAATTAGATACAACACATTATTGTTAGTAATCTTTTTATCTTAATGAATTAGAGACTTAAAATTTTGATCGCTAAAATAATAATAATTAAAATATTTGTCATTAATTTTTTTAAATGTATTAATGATTTAAATAATTAATGAACAATTTTATTGTTGTTTCATTTCAATATATCAATAACTTAGATCAATTTGTTTTGTTTTGTCTTGAACGTATTATGAACTAAAATATTTATGTTATTAACAATTTTTTCAAACAAATTAGAAGTTTTGGTTACTAAAAAATTAGGGACCAATATTTTTTTTTTTTAATATAATATTGACTAAAAATTGATAACTTAAAAAGTAATAATTTTTATTGTTAAATATTAATTTTTTAATATATTAGTAGTTAATATTTTTGGTCACTAAAACAGTAGTGATCGTTAACTTTTATTTTCTATTAAATGAATAGGATATTGAAATTTAGATTGTTGAAAAATTAAGGACCAAATTAGTTGTCACTAATATTTTGTTTCAAATGTATTAGAGACTAAAAATTTTGTCCTTAAATAATTAATGACCAATTTTTGCATACTAGTGACTGAATCATTACTGATTTTTTTGTTCTAAACAACTTAATACTTGGTTTTGTTAACTTTTTTTGTTTTAAATGAGTTACACTTTTGTTGCTAAAAGTTAATAACAAATGACATTTTGTTTCAAACAAATTAGGGGTTCTGGTTGTTCAATAATTAGTAACTAATTTTTGTTATTTTGTGTTGAATATTTTAGTGACTAAAATATTTTTGCTGTCATTTATTTTTTTAAACATCTTAATAATGAAAGTATTGACCACTAATAATTAACGAGCAATATTATTATTACTAATATTTTGTTTTAAAGATATTAATAAAAAAATTAATTACTAATAAATTAGTTAGTAATATTTTCATTGCTCATTATTTAGTTTTGAAAATATTAATATTTAAAAATTTTGGTACTTAAAATATTAATGACCAATATTGTGGTCGTGTTAATTTATTTTTAAACCAATTAAATACTAAAATTTTGGTCACTTCACACAAATTTGTGTTATTATATTTTTATTTTAAACGTATTAGTAAGGAAACATTTTTATTGTTAAATGCTGACCCAATTTTTCGTTGATAATTGTTTTCTTTTGAAATATTTAGTAAAAAATTAGTGACTCATATTTTTATGACTAATGTTTTGTTTTAATGAAATTATAGTCCCTTAAATATTAATAATAAATAATTATGTCATGAACATATTTTTCAACATATTTCTGTCTGAAATATTTAATCTCAAAAAAACTAGTAACCAATATTATTTTTTTTAAGATATTAATGATTGAAAATTTTGGTTGCTACAAAATTAACTACTAGTATTTTTGTTGTTAAATATTTAGTTTTTAGTGTATTATTGACTATTATTTTTGGTCGAAAGAAATTAGCAATCAATATTATTATCACTAACTTTTTGTTTTAAATGAATTAGAGATTGAAAATTTTGGTTAGTAAGAAATTAAATATTAATGTTTTGGTTGCTTACAAATTTATCGCTAAAGATTTTAGTCTAGAAACCAATATTTTTGTTATTTATTATTTTGTTTTGATCATATTAGTTTGTTCGTTGTTAAAAAAATTAATAACCAATACTTTATCAATAATATTTTTGCTTTAACACATATAATGATTGAATATTTTGGTAAACTTTAAACCCTAGTCAATATATTTGTTGTTTATTATTTTGTTTTTAATTTATTAATGATAGAAATATTGATAAATACAAAATTAGCAATTAATATTTTCATTGTTAATTTATTTATAATTGTTTGTCACTAAAAATTTTATTACAAAAAGATTAACTACCAATATTTTGTTGTTTATTTTTTGTTTTGAAAGTATTAGTGACGAACATTATTATTATTATTATTATTTTAATTTATTTATTTTTAACGTATTAATTACTGAAATTTTTTATTACAACCAACATTTTTGTTACTTATTTTTTGTTTGAATATATTATAATATTTATATAAATTAAATCTTTATGCCATGAATTGAGCTTACAAAATATTTTAGTTTATGTAATTTTTTGTATACATAATTTTAATTATAATTTTTAACTATTCGGTACCTATATAATTTTTTTATTTTTTAGTAGCATATATATATATATATATATATATATATATATATATAAAATTGTTTTTCAAATTTATAATATTATTATAATAATTTATTTTTATATTAATAATTATGTTTTATTTGATAAAAATAATATTATTTTATAAACTTTTAAAAATAGATAAAGGTGATCTTATAAAATCGTTTATAAAATGAGATTTATATTTATATTATATATTATTGTAATTCATGTAAGATATGTAACATGATAGATAAAACAATTATAAAAAATTTATTATAAATATTGAAATTTTATAACTTATTACAATAAATAATATACTAATCTAATATGCCATGTTGTGCAAATTTATAAGGTGCATTAGTATAAAATGAGATTTTTACGTTTGTTATTTTAATATTTTTACGTTAGATACAAATTCAATGTTAATACTGGAAACATAAATTTATATTGAATATAATCATTGACGTAAATTTACTTCGAGTATATCTCAAATCCAATGTAAATTTCATCATTTTTTTTAATATTCAATTTATTTTGTTGTGTTATAGTTTCCATATTTTCAATAGATAATAATTCAAAGTTAAATTAGTATAAAGACTAAAATACTTAAAAGGTAAACATTACAATTTACAAAGCTAAATTAATACACAATTTAAACTAGTATACAAATTAAAGTTAAACGACATAATACAATACACATAATAACCTACAAACTAAGTACTAGAAATACCCGATAATGGAGATTGATGAATATTGAAATACCTGAAACATTAATTTGACTCTGATTAATATGCAATATGCATTAAGGTAAATGAACTTAACAAATGTTGAAAGTAATTACTTTTTTCTAAGAATCAGTTATACCGCACAAACTATAGTAATACTCATGCTTATTATACCGAATTGAAAAACAAATAATAACATAATGTTATTTTCAAAATTTAAGCACAAGAGTATAAATATTATAATAATCTAACATTTTTCTCTTTTTCACTATTTTGTCTATTACACGTACTTAGGTGCATATTTTACAAAAATTGTAGGGACAAATCTACTTTCGGAATTTGTTCCATTTTCTTCGTTTTTTTCATTCGAAGCGTCCAAATCCGACATTGGAGTCAAAACTTATGTTGTTTCAAATATTTTTCGTTTTCTTTTCATCATAAAGCTCTAAATTGTAATATACAAATTACAAACAACAACAAAAAATGTAGGATTCAAACGCATAAACGATAATCACAAACTACACATATCAATTTTAATAACAATTAAAGACATTTAATTCTAACATAAAAGAAGAGACAAAAGACAATGTACGTGTTTTTATCACTCAGTATGATCAAAATATACCTTGAGAAAAACTTGATTTGTTGTTGCCGCTATCGTCACTTAAAAAATCAAAATAAAAGTTTTTAATTGATTAAAATGTGACTTTTACATCAACCTTATAGAACCAATATAAAAATCACTTTTTAAGTATGTTTGAGAGCCACCCAACCTAAAATCCATCTTTTACAAAAATTATCTAAAAGGTCCAATACAAAAATAACGTATCTTATTTACAAAATATCATGGCATTTTTTTTTTAAATAGGTTATTTTTGGGTCAAGAAGGAAAAGTGCCTACTTACTGGGTTTAGAACGTTTTCCTCAATCAGCATTATGACTGTCTCTTCTTTTGCCTATAATATATCAACCACTCTACATTTCTTTTCTATAAAAATAATTTATTTATTTCTTTTTCTTCAACCTTTATTCTCCTTCCTTTATGAGTATAGTCTTTTGGTTTTTAGTATGTAATATGAATTTTGTTTCAACTGCATTATTCTTTAAATTTATTTAATTTTTTCTTTTATTTTGCGTGAGATTTTAAGCATATGGTTGCTGCGGTATTTATTTCGTGTTCATGCACTTTTATTTTTTCTCAATAACCCAGCCTTCTTGTCACTTAATTACACTATTTTGATTATTCAATAATGAAAAAATTATGATACCAATAGAATTAAGAAAAAGATTTGGGTCATACCTTCTAGAATTTTGACTTCTGACTCAGTAGGAGAGTGTATAATCTTAATAATGAGATAATTATCAAGTCACAAGGCTTCAAACAAAATTAAGAGTGTTGTTATAGATTAAGCTTGACATTATTCTCATGCACTGTTTCTTTTTTATATATAATGAATGCTAATTAAATTGGTGTTAAAGAATAGGAATGATCTGAATTTTCATTTGAAACAATCGGGCACGCAATGGATAAAGTAGGGAGACAAAAGAATCATCATCATCTAATCAATAATGGGTGGAAGGAATCATCAATTTTTTATGTGACATTATTTTTGCCTTTGTTTATGTTTGTTAAGGAGACCAAGAATGCTTGTTAGTAATGCCTTTCTATGTAAGGAAAGTTTATTCCCTGGTCTCCCTCTTTACGTGTTAATATAACGATGAGTTCTATAACAAGTTTATCCTACCCTATGTACTTTGATTTCCAACAATGTACCAAAGACTTTATCTTTTTTATACTAAATGCCGCTAAAAAGACTACAAACTTCATGTAGGTTTATTCAAACTTAATGAGTGGATTTATGTAAAGTTTCAAGTTTGAATTTTTTAAGAGAGTGCATTATACAAGAGACTTTTGATGTATACGATGATTTTTACAACATTCCAAGAAGACTATTTATGTTATCGTAAAAAAAATGTCATGAAAGAAAGGAAAGAGAGAAGATGCAAACACAAAAAGATGTCCCCTCACCGAAACCCAAAGCAAAGAATCTGGAGTTTGCTTCATCATAGACTCAACTAACTAACAATTATCCATTGACTACTTTTTCTATCAAATCTCCATGGAGCAAACCCATGTTGTGGCTTCAAGACTCAATGCAACTTTGGTGGTTGTTGCATTGGTTCTTATTCAAGGTAAACCCATCACATTAATCAATTCTCCATGCTGTTATTTCAACTTTGATCTCATTCATCATCATCTCCTCGTTAACCATCCCACAGGAGCACATGCAATTGCAAATATCGGTGTTAATTATGGGACAGTTGCAAACAACCTTCCTCCACCTTCGAAGGTAGCAAAATTTCTATCCAAATCCACCATAATCAACAGGGTGAGACTCTTCGATGCCAACCCTGAAATTCTACACGCTTTTGGAAACACTGGCATAGAGGTAACCATAACCGTCCCAAACGACCAAATCCCCGACATAACTAACTTAACCTTCGCACAGCAATGGGTCAAAACCAACGTCCAACCGTTCCTCCCCGCCACCAAACTAATCCGAATCCTCGTAGGCAACGAGGTGCTGTCCACCGCCAACAAACTCCTCATCAGCAACCTCGTACCCGCCATGCAAACCCTTCACGTGGCTCTCGTCACAGCATCATTGGACAACAACGTTAAAGTCTCCTCTCCACACTCTCTGGGGATTTTGTCAAACTCAAGCCCCCCCTCAACTGCCAAGTTTAGACAAGGCTACGACACGCACGTGATAAAACCAATGCTTAGTTTTCTCAAAGATTCGAATGCACCCTTCATGGTTAACCCTTATCCTTTTTTTGGATCCTCTGCCAGCAACCTTGATTATGCACTCTTTCGGACCAATTCGGGTGTATTTGACGACAACACCAAACTCCGATACACGAACATGTTGGACGCGCAACTTGACGCTGTTTATTCGGCGATGAAGGTTTTAGGCTTTGAGGATGTTGAGATTGTCATTGCCGAAACGGGCTGGCCCTCCGCCGGTGACCCGCCCCAAGTTGGTGTTGACCCGATGACTGCTTCTGAGTACAATGGGAATCTCATACGACACGTCACTTCTGGGGCTGGAACTCCTCTCATGCCCAACCGGACTTTTGATACCTATGTTTTTGCTTTGTTTGATGAAAATTTAAAGCCCGGCCCAACTTGTGAGAGGAACTTTGGGCTCTTCTGGCCCAATATGAGTCTCGTTTATGACGTCCCAATAATGAGGAACAATGTAGCTGTCGTTGCTAATAGACATTGTTATAAAGGTTTTTTGTCCATCATGCTTGTCTTCGCCTTCATTTGTACTTGGCTTTAAATTTGGTAACTGTTTTTGCACTTTCGTTCACCTCTTTCTAAATTCTATTCTTATTTGTTTTTGTTTTTTTTCAAAACTTTATTTTAGTTTTTTTTTCTATTTTTCGTTCTTTTTTAGTTTTAAACAACATTTTTTTTAAATGAAAAAAAAAACAACTATAACTGCATTACTAAAAATTAAAAAATAATTTTTTATTTTGTCAATTAATTTGCCAAGAAAAAACTAAATTTCAATTATATATTCAAAAACTAATATTCAAAAATATATAAAAAAAATATTTTATGCTCGTAAGTCTCATCTGAAACATAGACCAGATATAAATCCAAACCTTGATATTAACAATGATGTGATGTGGTTAAAAATATCAATATATTTTTTAATTCGTAAGTTAACGCAGTTCATTACGGATTCAAGTCAAATTCGACTCGATTTTTTTTAGTAATAAATTAAAAATAAACTTATTTTATTTAACTCACCAATTAAACAAATTCGAATCAGATTATGATAAATTAAGTTCATCTATTTTCATCTCAACCTTGGTGATTCACTTTCTGATACTATGTTTAGTGTTCAAACACCCATGTTTAGAAAATTGTAGTGTGCAAACTTCAGCCAATCTTTACTGCATATGTCAAAGTCATAACTAGGATTCCACTTTTTCTTTATTTTCTTTGAGGGAAGGGAGAATATCCAATGTTATGTACACATCATGGAGATATGCAATTATTCATTCACATTCTCACATCTTCCTTAAGACTCATCTTTCATTGTGTTCCTAATAATTTTTTTTTATGTTACTAATAAATAACAATATTAATAATAATTTGAATTACCGAGACAAAATATTATTATTATTACTATGAAAATTTGTTTTATTTATGTGACTAAATACTACTAATAGAATTTAATTAATTTTGCATATATCATACTGTATTATAAAATATTTTTTAATATGCTGTAAATAGGAATTTTGTCCCTAGAGACCATAAAAAATGAAAAATATGTTTTATAAATTTAGAATTAATAATTACAGTATATTAAAATTATATCTAATATAAATTAATAACTATTACTATTTTTTAATCCTTATATAATTTAATAATAATATAAATACTTATATTATATTTTTCATTCAATAATTTATTTTTAAATATTTTTCTTTGATTATATATATATATATATATATATATATATATATATATTATAAAAATTTTACAAGTATCCTTAATCCAAGGACAGCTAAAGAATGCATAAAATACAAGTTTTTATTGAAATGTATAAGAAAATTTGTATAATTATTTTAATGTGAAATAATGAAATATTAATATTTGTTTCTTTTAATTTCTTAACTCGTGTTCTATGACAACATATGCTTATAAAAAGAATGTCATTACTATATATATATATATATATATATATATATATATATATATATATATATATATATATATATATAATAACACAAATAACTAAAATGATAATTAAATAAAATAATCATAAAAAAGGAAATATATATAATAAAAAAGCACAAATAATTAAAAATATAATTAAATAAAGGATTTGTGGAAGGACTTCTTGCTATATCTAGTATTTTAATATTAGTTTTTTTTTATATTTTTTTAGGAGATATAATGAAGTTTAAATATTATTTATGTATTTTCCTTTTTTAGAAAAACATGTTTTTTTTCTTTTACATTCTTAACCGTGAAAGTGGTGATTTTTCTTTTCTTATTTTAGATAAATAGTATATTTTAATATATAAATAATTTAATTTTTTTCAAAACAAAAATATTTAAATATCAATGTTTTTTTTTTGTCCTTTTTATAGTTTGTAATTTTTATTCTAATACTTGAATTGAAAAAAGCGAGATTATCTTCCCATTATTTTTTTCTCTTATTTAGATAAATATTATATATTTTGATAAATTTGAATATAGGAATAATTGTTGTTAAACTTATTAAATCAAAATATTAAAGTGTAAATTATTATTTTTATGTTATAAATTTTAATTGCTATTTTAATTATATTATAATTACTTAAAAAAAATTATTCAATGTTACTAATAAGACAAACACCATGATTTTCTCCGAAGAAAATAAATTTTCAACCAATTAAAATTTATTGATTGAATTGAAAGAATCTGAAATAATTCTATAAATGATGAGGTTATATGTCTATATATTTTTTTCCTTTTTTTTTACTGTTGTGAATTTATACTGGTTCTTCAATTTCAGTGGATATAAGATGAGTATGCATTTGAATAACAAAAATTAAAAAAAGTTATCCATAATTTATACATGTTAGTTTTAATTATCTCGTAACAATAATTAAATTTATATTTTGAATTATATATTTTATGTATGCAATTCAAAACATCTTAAATGAATTTCCAATTTTTTCTTTGATTATATTTATTTGCAATATTTCTTGAAATTTTAAACTGTAAATTATATTTAATTTTTTATTAATATTTTAAAATGTGTTTGTTTTTTATACATTAGATACATATTTTCCGAACAAAACAAATATAAAGTGAGAGAAAAGAAAAAGAAAAAAATGTAAAATTAACATTAAGAGATTTTTTTTTTAACTCTAAAAACCTCAATGAAATAATTAGAATTTCAATTTTTTTGTTAATAATATGAATAACAATTGTTAATGGTATACATAATTTCAATGCAAGAATAAATATTATTAAAATAGACTAAAAATATTGTTCAAATAACTGTCATTGCACTAACTAACATTTTTTTCTAAAAAATGATATTGTTTTGCTTATACATTTTTATAATTCATTTTTATCATATCAAATATATTATTTAATATTTTTCTCTTTCTTTTATTTTTATCATAAAAATATAAATTTAGATAAATATCATCGTAAAAAAAATATAATTCAATTCTCATCACTACTGTGAGGAAGATGACCTCAACTTAATGATAATAATTTAAACACGACTTTAAAATAATCATTACAAAATTTAATCATTTTATTAATATGTAATAACTAAAACTTGAATGATGATAGAAGATTTTCATACCACATTATAAGTATGTAGATTTTCATACCATTTTTTTTTTTACATTATGCATGTATTTTAATTAAATTGTAAAACATAAAACAAATTATAAGAGTATTGACATTAATAACTAATAATATTATTATAATAAATAATACTAATTTATTTTTATAATAAATATTGTACAAATTTTTAATTATTACACATACAAAACTTGTCTTTTTCATAGTTTCAATCACTTAATTTATTTGAAATAATGAGAAAAGGTGAAAGGTCACGACTTTTCAAGATTTGAACTGTGTCCCTATCCCGCCCGCTCCCACTCCCACTCCCACTCTTCCGCTCCTCTGCATATAATATATCATCACTTTCCTTCTCATTCTCATACTCATTCTATCACTTGGCTAATTTTTTCTTTTACATTCATTTCTCATTCAAAAGGTAGCAAACAATCTTTATAGAAGTTATTTATATTTATTTTTTCCCCCTTTTTCAACCTTTACTTTGTTCATGAGTATAGTGATTTTTTATTTTTTTTTTGAGGATTTTTTTTATCTCAGTCTACTAAGGATGTTTTGTCTTAGTGTATGGATCTTGTTCCAACTTCGTCTCTCCATTGAATTTACTCAAATTTGACTTCTTTTTTCTCTTGACTGAGATTTTAAGCATGTGGGTGCTTTCTGGTTTTTCTGATTGGAGTTTTGAACCAAATGCTGAAGAGAATGAAAATGATGTGAGTTTTTTTTTTATTGTGTTTTGCTTGAGAAATGCTTTTCAGTGGTTGTTGCTGTATTTGTTTTAGGGTTGAGTGATTGTGTTCATACACCTTTTCTCTCAGCAACCAAACCTTCTGTCAGCGCACATTTTGTTTATTAAAAAACGGAGAAAATTATGACACAATAAAGAAAAAAATATTAATAAGATGATCTGGGCCATACCTTGCGTTGTGGTTTCAAACAAAATCATGTCAAAGATTAAGCTTTGATCGAGTATCATGTTAATTGTTGGTATTATCTAATGAATGGATTTTAAATTGGTGTTTGAAGAGCAGGTATGAGCTAGATTTTCATTTGAAACAATCGGGTTGCTCTTCTTTGAGGCACACAATGAATAAAGTAAATAAAATTAGTGCCAAAGACGAAGAACGTGCAATCCGGATCACCAGAGCAAAGGCTAGAGCCTTGAGAGAAATTCCTCCCGCTTCAAGACCCTCCTTTGAAAATGAACAGCAAAAAGTGCCTAGAGCAAATTCCAAAAGAGCAGCCACTTCTGAAGACCAAACTTCTGTGGTTGTTCCTGCTGCTCTTCAAAACAAGAGAAGGGCAGTTCTTACAGATGTAACAAACATTTGTCTAAAATCACGTGATAAGTGTACTAAGGCATCCAAATTTCTGGTAAGCATGTAAAGCTCACTTTGTTATCAAAGTAGATTTCAAATCATGGATGTTTTACAATTCCAGTAATATGCTTGGTAAATACTTGTTTCCAATGAATTATTCTTCCTATAAAGTACAAAAACATTTGGTCCAGTATCCTTTATTTTCTCACCACAAGATGGTTTTATAGTTCTACAAAATTGTAAATTCATAAGAATGAAAATCAGTAGTGTCAGTTGGTGATGTTGGTTGACCATCTATTGTAGGCCAAAGGAGTTTCTACAAAGAAAAGCACAAAGTTAACTTCAGGTGTTTCCTCTGAAGTTTCATCAAGACAGGAGAATGTTAGAGCAAAGTTAGTTGAAGATTTATCAACAATAAGGACGGTAGAATGCAATGATGCCATAAGAGAACGTGTTACCGCAGATGCCAAGTCTTCAATGCAAGATTCTGTGAAATCTGATGAACTTCTGTGCTCTTCAGAAAAAGGTCTTTCTATAATCTCAAATTCTACTACTTGTATACAACAGATTTTAGGTGTGTAATATGACATACTAAATCACTCTACCTTAATTTGTAACTCTCTGGTTAAACAGACAAAACACTAAATTTACTCGAGCGCACATCGACATTATTGAGTGTTTTACCATACAGACTCTACTACTTTCTCAAAAACTTATTTGTTTCTTATGTTTCCCTTAACTAATGAATTGCATTTCTTATTATTAACAGTTGGAGAATGCACATACTAGTATTGTTATACAAAGAATTTTCTAGTTTAAAGAGTTACAGTGCTATGTTATGATAGATGGTTTGATAATACATTAAAATAGCCATCTAATTTAGGATCCTATAATTACTGTTTTTGTTCTCTTGTTGGATTATGCAGACGTATACAGGATTTGTGAGAAGCCAGAAACCTCAAACTCCCTTGCTATTGTGGACATTGATTCAGAGTTAAAGGATCCTCAAATTTGGAGTTCTTATGCCTCCGACATATACAACATCATTCGAGTCACAGAGGTTTGTGATGTAGTGATGTAATTTTATTTTATATTTTCCTTATGTGTTTCTACTACACTGTTGGTACATGTAACAGGTAACATTATATAAACCTAAACTTCTGCTTTCTGCTATTGTCACAGTCTGACTGCATTTTACTAAAGTTTTTCCAGTATATAACATCCACTGTTAGCAAGAATTCTTGGATAGCAGAATACAGCAAATTTTACTCAGTAACATAGTAGTATTTGCATAACATTATATTCCTTGATAAAAGAACTTTACAAAGTAATAATCTTATAATGATGAAGGATACTTTCGCTACAAAAAAAATTGATAGTGAGTTTTGGTGAAATCATCCAGCTTAAAAGGAAACCATTGACCAATTATATGGACAAGTTGCAGACAGATATTAATCCAAGCATGCGTGGAATTCTGGTAGATTGGCTTGTGGAGGTTAGTCTCATGTTTTCAACATTATGTAGATTTCTATTCTTGAGTACATATGAAGAATTTTATCTTCCTGTCTTTCAATCGAAATGTGGTTGAATTATAGGATGTTGAAAATAAGATGAATATCTACAATTCATTGGCATGCTCCTGATATAGTCAAATTTGAAATACACAATCTGTAATTGTCATATATCCCTTTTCAGGTATCCGAGGAGTACAGATTGGTTCCAGACGCTCTTTACCTGACAGTGAACCTCATTGATCGGTATCTCTCAACTACATTCATTCAGAAGCAAAGGCTACAGTTGCTGGGTGTTACTTGCATGCTCATTGCATCGTAAGTACCAACTTTTGTAATGGTCCTGGTTAAGAAAGAAGTTTCCAAGCCCAAAGTGATACCTCTTGATGCTTCTTTAAAATGAGAATGCCGAAATGCCTTTAAATATATAATATCAGTATTTACTGGTTTCTTATAACGTTACTTGTTCTCTTTATTGTCTCTGTAGTTTTGCTAACATGCTGGTAATGATATTTTGTTTGGACATTCATAAACATAAAATGAAGCTCCAACATTATTCTTTCCACTCTGAATTTTAATGAATGCATTTGGAGATGCTGATAACTATAATAATTTAATATATCACTTCTATTGTTATTTTCTTGGCCTTATATGTGTTTCTTTTCTTTTATGACCTGAAGAAAGTATGAAGAGATGTGCCCACCTAGAGTGGAAGATTTTTGCTTCATCACAGATAACACATACACAAAAGAACAGGTACTGTATTTGGTAGTAGTATGGCTTGAATCTTTCATCCTTTTCCTTCAAGCAGTATTCTTGATGATTGATATATAAAACACCTAATTAGCATCATCTGACAGGTAGTAAAAATGGAGAGAGAAGTACTGAATGTGATGAATTTTCAGTTATCTGTTCCCACAATCAAAACATTTCTAAGGTATGTAATATTTACATTTACAGAGGAATACACATAGTTTTAAAAACAAATACTTCGCTAACCATTACTTTCTGGAAAACCTCTCTTAGTTATTACTTGGATGAATTATCACTATCTTTTCTTGGTTTTCAGGAGATTTATCCAAGCAGCACAATCTTCTTACAAGGTACTACAGTTGTTATACACAGTATTTATCCACAATTTATTAAACTTTGAGGTGATGATGTTATTATGCAGAAAGGGAAAATGCAAATTAACTTGATAATTTCATAAACAGGCTCCTCGTGTTGAACTGGAATTCTTGGCAAATTATTTAGCAGAGCTTGCTCTTGTTGAATACAGATTCTTCCAGTTTCTTCCTTCCATTGTAGCTGCATCTGCTGTGTTCCTTGGCAGATGGACCCTGAACGATTCAGAACATCCATGGGTATGAACTATTGATTGCTTAGTTGCAAAATGACTATTCACCGTTGACCTTTGTGTAGAAGTAAACAAATTTTAAGAGTCTCGTGCATTTATTCAGAATCCAACTCTGGAGCACTATACAAACTACAAAGCTTCAGACCTCAAAACAGTTGTTCTTGCTCTGCAAGATCTGCAACTTAATTCCAAAGGCTGCCCCCTCAATGCTGTCCGCGATAAGTATAAGCTACAGAAGGTTAGAATTCTGCACATTAATTAATTCTGTTCGGATAAACTTCACAACGAAGAAAAAAAATGTTAAAATGCAATATACTTTTCTCAAATCAACTTACGTATTTTAAATTTTGAATAAGTTAGATACACTACTTGATTTGAACTTACTAGAAAATTTCAATTAATTTTAATTTATTTTGTTCATTCTCTATAAATATTTATGAAAAACTTCACCGAATCCTTTTTCAGCTGACTAAAGCTCCACTAGTCAGCCACACACCACAAGTGCTATATATCAGAAAACATACATAATATTATTGTACTTCTTTTCCAGGCATCCTTTTGTCAATGTCAAACGTGTCCAGCATTTTATATATGTTACTGGTTAAATTATAAATACCATTTATTGAAGTTCTATCAGTGTTAGAATTATTTTCACGTAGGGATCAAAACGTAAAACAATGTTTATTCTAGAGAACAAGATATAGATTTTTTTTTTTTTGTTGAGTACAAATTTAAGTCTAAGGATATGAAGTGTAAGTATCAAATCTGATATCAATTCATAAACCCCATCTGTATAATTTAATCCATGTCCAGTTATATAATTACTGGGAAAATGGGGTGTAGAGGGGTTCATGTTCTGGTGTATTAACCTATATATTGTTCCCATTTGAGTAAAGTATATGAACCGGCAAAATAATATGCACGTCCTTATCGTTGCTGAAAAAGGGTATTGAGATAATCACATGACAGTGACTTTTGTTTCTTGTGACAGTTCAATTGTGTGGCAAACATGTCCTCAAAACCGGTGCAGTCACTCTTCCAGGCCCAAGTGTAAATGTTTTTGGCTGTTCCCTAAAGACTAAAGGAGGATGACTTCACAATTTCTGGCACAGTGATGCTTGATAATCATCGTCACTTGTCATATATATTTACCATTCTTTTTTATCATCAATCCCCCACTTGAAATCTGTTCCGTAATTGTAACATGTAAGATGGTCTCAGACTCTGGTTCTTCCAGAATTTCTTGTAAACGAAGTCGTTGCGGGATGACACAGTTCAATGAGTGAGTTGATGTACTAACACCAAGTAGGCTTCATCTTAAGGTTGTCATGATGCAACAAAGCCCTATAGTTTTGGTCTCAAGATCTATACCGAAACAAACATTTTTGTATGTGTAATACATATTAAATCACATAAAATCTATATATCATACAACATTTGTTTTATCGTAATTATTATCTGAATTCTCCACCGTATATATATATATGATCTTTTTATCAATTTTATGAAAATAAAAAATTATTATTGAATATTAAATTAGTATAAAAAATTGTTAAAATGATATGTTTTATAAATTTAATCATTTATGAATTTTGCAATAAGAAAGCATCATCAAATTTAAATATAAGAATTATATTTTAAAAATTATAAAATTATATTTATCAATTTGAAAGTATGAATTAAAGATAATTTGAAAAAATAATCACAATAAACAAAGAGTTCTTATTATCCCTTTAATTTTTAATCTTGAAGTATTGAAATTTGGACCAATTGTTGAGAAAACTTGTGAAAAAACGTTTCAGGACTGGAGACCTACCTTATTCTAGTGTAGGTCCATAAAAAGAGTGTTCTGGGCCTAAGTAACTACTGTGATGTAAATTCAGCTTTTCCTTTTGACACGAACGAAAAAGAAGCTTTTCGCTGGTAGGGCTCCAAAATTTCTAATTTTCTCTTCATGAATATTGATCCTCAATAGTGGTCACAGTCAAAACACTAAAATCACAACCCACTTTGATTCTGAATAACCAAAGCTTCAGTCAAACTTTATTTTCAATATTAGTGTTTTAATTTGATGCAAGAGGGCGTACTAAGATATTTTAGATTCAAGAAAGTTTTTGTTGTAAGAATCAGATAAAATTGGAAAGTTCATTTAAATTAAGTTCAAGTGTATCATTGAGTTGACGCCTTATTTTGAAAATACTTTATCTTTTAATTCCATTTCCATTTCATTAATAGTATCCTGATATGCAATGTCTGTAACAATTACTGGTATTGTGACTAGTTATATAAGGAGAAAGGCAGAGAAGAGCACAGTACAGATTTTGTAAATAGGCTTATACAGAAAATGTTTGATCCACTGCATGATCCTTCTTATCACTTATCAGAAGGAGGCAGTTAAGTTACCACACCATACAGTGGCAATCAAAAGCATGTTACAAGGTACAACATCTGGCTGCCATGAGCATCAAAAGCACCTAGGAACCTAAAAAGATAACAGCCATTTACCACTTTTCTAGTGGTTTTCCACCATATCAGGCTGAAAGAGATAAGGATTGAGAGGGTCTGACATACATACATGCATACATAAGTTACAGGTTATCAAATTGGAGATACTAAAACTGCTGTATTTCCAATCACAGGCTGGAGACTGGCTGCATGCTCTAGTTGTTTCCATGCTTCCTTCCGCTTCTCAGCCGCCGTGTTCAGTATTGTTTCTTCTTCCTTATACTGGGAATGACAAGCTAGGTACAACTTCTCATCCATCTCTGCAAACATTTTCTTGACATTATGAGTTAGGTTGAGCACTGCTTGGCTCCAGTGGCCCTGAGAATTCTTCTCTAAGGCTGGAAATATGATTGGCAAGATCACTTGTCGGTTGTGAGCGATCAAGTTCACAATATGGTCGTTGTTCCATAAGAAAAGGGCTCTTTCAGCTACCTGAAACAATCCATGTTGAATAAAAAAGAGTTATATTTGAGCAATAAACAAAAATGCCACAGGAAACAACTGATTCTCAAAAGATACAGAAACAAATGAAGATGGAGACGAATTGCAGCAATGAAATCATTAAATTGAAAAGGCAAGAATACATACTAAAAGAAAACATGGAGAGCTCTGATGAGACAAGAAGGAATACAAACTGGTTTCAGTTTCACATCCTATAATTGACCTCTAACACAAAATTAATGCAATGAATCTCCCAACGAAGGTTGCAGTAGCATCTTTACTTTGAAACTGAAGCTAAGCATTCTTTTAGTCCCTACTATATTAAAGCGAGAGCTCTACTCCACATCTTAGAGAGACTATAAAGGAACCTTAGCTGAAGTGCTTAGTAATATAATGCCAGAGAATAGATAGCACTACACAAGCTATAGTTGAAAGGCATAGATTTCATTCCAATATAAAAGCATGAAAATAACTAGCATTCAATAAGAGTGAATAAGAATTGTACCTGAAAATGCATACTGTTAATGCAGCATCCTATCCGCCAAAATAAAGGTACCATGACTCTCTGGAACTCTACCATGTTAATTGTTTCCAAAATTTCTTCCAGTTCACCCAGGAACATCACCTCTTTCTGACTATTAGTTATCGGCCAATACTTTAACAACCCCCTGATGACAATGCTCGCCAACTTAGGCTCTTTCTCAATGAACTGAGTAACGCAGTAAGACAACTGCTGAAAGTACACCCCCATAGACTTGGCCTTGTGCAAAGGGATCAAAACCCTCCACATGAAAATCTTGTGCTCCTCTTTCAAAGGCAAAGCGAACCCGCTAATTATGCTCCCAAAAATCTCCAACAACTCGGCAATCCCGTTGTGCCTCTCAGTCTCAAACACAAACTTAAAAAACAAGTTGTTAATGGATTTCCTTATGTAGGGCCTATGCACCATGAACTTGCCATAAACCCTATGCAGAATGGTCTTCAAGCAGTCCCTCTCCCTAGGATCCTCCGAATCAAACAACTCCAACAACCTTAACATAAAGGAATGATCAATGTACTTCTTGGCCACCTTGGCATCAAGAGAATTTGAGGTGATAAACTTGAGCAGCAACTCATACACCAGCTGCAAATGAGGCCATGCGGGATCAAACGCTGGCTCGTCATCATCATTCTCACCACCACGATTGGACCTATAATTTGGCGGGAAAACGCGAAAGAGATTAAGAGCACACATTCTGCACACAGCGAGAATAGCAGGTTCACAGAACCTCGTAGACCCACAAGAGGAAACAAAATCAACGAGTTCAACAAGTGTTTTTCTCTTCACCTCTTTCTCCACCGTGTTCTTACCAGGGTCCGTGAAATCGAACGTCACACAACACAGGCTCAGCTTGCTGACGAAAAGGTTCATCTTTTCCGAGCTCGGAATATCCTTAAACGGCACCAGAGGTTCTATTACCGACACCGTGCTCGCCGGAAAAACCGCCGACGAGGATGTCCGTTTTGCGGCGTTCGAGGCTGCCGTACCCCCTTGCGTGCGACTGTGCCTGCTGGCAGCGCGAGGGGAATCGTCTGAGCGGGACGAGTCGGCTCGGCATGACTCGTCCGAGTCGGGTTTCGGTGTCTTGCGTGGAAGTCTGCTGAGGAATTGCTTCAGCATGGCGACCCGGAATGTGAAAACGGTAAATTTTGAATCTTTAGACAAAACCCATTACAGAAGGCAAAACAATGTGGCACGAAAATCAATGGGTTCTTCTTGAGGGAGGCACAGATGGTGAAACCCTAGATCTCGGTCATGGAATGTGGGGGAAATTACAAGCAATGTGAGAGGGGTGCATAAAATTGAGACTGAACATTCAAAAGGGTAGAGGGAAATTTGCGATTTTGCAGCATGCATGGGTGAAAAATCAAATCTTGAGGATTGTGAAAGACAAAGGAGAAAAGGAAATGCAAATGAAATGTTCTTGCAAAAAAAGGTGGGGAATAATTAACAATTTAACATTAGAAACTCTGCATTTCTGATTTTTTTTTCTTGGGAATGTGAGAAAAAGGAAAAGGGAATTTGTTGAGGTTGAATGTGGAAAAGAGGGGGTTTCTAATTTCTCTCTAGACACAAATCATAAGAGGAATTTGAAGATGCAGATCAAGAAGTTTTGTGCTGTGAATTTTTTTTTGGCAATCAAAACCTCTTAGCTGTTTCTTCATCTGTTGTTGATGAATAATGTGATCCACCGCCATGGAACTCAGAAATAAACAAAAAATAATAATACAATAAGGCAATGACTGGTTTTAACTTCTTTTCTCTTGTTTAAGGGGGCATTGATCAAATCATCAAACTTTAGTGACATTTTTCTAATATTCCATGATTTCTATCCACACTGCATTTCCTTGTGTGCATTTAATTAATAATTTGGTTAAATTGTTTGGGTTTGAGATATTGATAATAATTGAAGGAGGGGAAAAAGATAAGAAGCATGGGTAGAATTTGGACACCAACACGTGTAACTGTGTGTATGTAAGGAAAAGGAAAAAGCCTGTAAAACTAGGGACATGACATGGTTTTGTGCAGATACCAAAATTACAGATAGGTGATGTGTTTTTTCCTAAACTTCTTTTATTTTGTTATTATGGTTATAATCTTAATAATAATACCAAATATGATTATAAACTTAATAATCATAATAGTAATACCAAATATATGTTTATCTCCGCAAAATTTAGTCTCTCATGCATGCATTTGAACTTTTAATCTGATATGTTAAACAAATCCTTGGAAGATAATTCATTTTAAGAAAATTAGACAGGTAATTTTAATCAATATTGAAATAAATTTGTAAAAAACAATGAAAAAAATTCATTTTTATTACTAATGCTTTTAACATAATTTATTTACTTAAATGCGAATAAAAGAATTTCCCACTTAAATCTTGACATTCTAAATTTTAATAAAATTAATAAAGAGATAAATCTCACAGTGATGTCATAATTAAAAAAAAAAGTAACTTTAACTATTATGTCATGAGTTAAAGCAATGATTACAACTAATTTGAGTAAAAGAAAAGTAATTTGGAGTGTGTTAATCTATAAGCATTGATTATCTTTATTAACAATTATTTCACTCCTGTCTATATGAAATTTTAAGTTTTACCTCTTATATTTGCAAATGATTCATTGTCTCACATAAACTATTGTAAATTCTGAAGTTATCTAAATTTAATTAGAAATATTCATATTCACTTACAACAACCTTCTAAATTTAAGATTAGAGTGATTTTTTTAGGCATTATTATTATTATTATATGTTTTAAAAAAACTTGTTAAATCAAGAAGAAACAACATGAACAATTATTCCTCAAGGGCACACACTTGTAATTAGGTTTATTGTCAATTTAATAAGCTAAATCTAATTATTTTAATGAATATATTTTCATCCCTTTATATACATATAATATGATGATTTTGAATGATTTTATAAATGTGCTCGAATTTTTATTATATTGTCTTATTCAATAAGTTAAATTTTTTAATTTTTATATTAATTTTAGTTTTAATTATATATTTATAGAAAATAAAATATTTATTTTAAATAATAATTTATTTTATATATATTTCAATTATATAAAATTTAATATAAAAAATAACATGTACATTATATTATTAAGATGTTTATATCATATATATAAAATTTATAAACAATTTTAATTTTGAAAATTTATATATACTGTAAATTATTTTTTTAAGGAACAAATTATATAATTATTAGATAATATTTAATTAAATAATTAAATCATTTTATTTAAAAAATGAAATTATAATATTACATCTATATTATAAAAATAAATATTATTGTGAAGGTGAGTATTTTTATAACTTATTTGAACTATACTATTTTTGAAATCATTTTTCAAGTTTATTCTTACTTTGATACTATTTTTAAAATCAGTGTTTTTAAGTTTATTCTTCATTGTTCAGTTATTACATGCTATACACCAACATAATATATTGAATATATACTTTTACTGCAATTTTAATTTATATTTTTCAGGAGTTTTTATTTTTAAATCATTTTAAACCGCACTCATCTATAATTATGTGTATCTTTTTTTTCCTTATTTTAGTTTATCATTTTAAATTAAAAATTCAAAAAGATTTTGTCAATAATTTGAAAAAAAAATTCAAATAATTAAATAAATTATTTTTAAGTAATATAAAATATATTTTGTATATTTATTCTTTATAAAAAGAAATATTTATTTTATGTCTTGAAAGTATAAAATTCTAATTTTATTAAGAAAAATTAAGGATAATTGGTCCAATTTATTTTAAGTCTTATAATTTTCAAATTAATATTATGGTTATATAGTACGAGTTTTCTATTATATTGATTCTAACTCAAATTATTCATTGTATATTTTAATTTAAATTTGAAGTCAATCTAACCAGAATTCAAGATAAATAAGATGAAATTTCCTCAATTTGGCTAAAATGATGAATCTACCTAAGACATTAAACATACCAAACCACTGAACCTAACCATGTTAGAGATTGATCATGAAAATGCTTTCTCTTAAAATCATATTTTAGTTATTAATTATGAAAGTAAAAGATTCATTACCTCTTCGCATTACAAAATTAATGTAAATTGCTACAAAACAATGTATACTTAGACGTGATGCTCTGAGCCCAAACTGGTTCATCACAAAATTGAATTGAATTTTATTGAAAAAATTAAATTAAATTATTGTTAATAATGAATTAAAGCGAGTTTGACTCATGTTAAATGCATGATTTAGTGATTTGATTGGTTTATCTCAAATTTTTATATTTTTTTTCTATCATATGTTAGTATAAATCTATAAAAAAAAAATTTAAAAAGTCAACCCACTTCTATTAATAAATCAATTCATCTAATTCACTTATTTAATAATTCAAAAAAACTATAAAAAAAACATATATTTAATAATTCAAAAAAACTATAAAAAAAACATATATTTTTATTAGTGAATCCACCTAAATTATCAGGTAATTTTTTGGTCGACTGAGAGAATTGCTGTTAACCTAAATATCTCAATTTGATACTAATTTAAATGATTCTTTATAAAGTTTTAAATAATTGAAGATCTATTTAACTACATGGGCCAAAGAAATAATTTTATGAATTATATACATTACTAATTTATGTGAGAGAAAAAAATAGTAATAATAAGACATAAGTCGAATATTTCAAATTTCATTAATAGAAAATGTATTTAGGTAATGAAATAAAAAAAAATTGAAACCCACCAACCTAACCAATTGATGCAACCCACTCCCCCATCTTGGTTCTTTGTTATTTTTCTAAGCTAAAACAAACTTCATATGGGAACATTTAACAAACGATGACAAAATTAGGATAGAATGGACAAAAGAAAGATATATAGAATAAAAAGCAAAAAAAAATATACAATGTTAGAATGCAACAATAACAAATTAGGAAGAGAAAATAAAGAAGAAGAAGGAATTGAAAGGCCTATGACTCGTTCATTCCTTTCTTTTGCCTTCTCCATCAAAGATAAATGTGTGTCTCATTCAAACGCTTTCTACCTTTTCCTCTCGTTTCTTGGCATTGTCAGGTCTCTCTTTTTATTTTTTTTCGTTTCCTATTTATCTAATTTCTCTAATTTTCGTTTTCTTTATCTCACACTTTCTTTATCAATATGTGTATGTATGATTGTTGTTGTGATTCCTACGAATGACTTTGAAACATTGCAAGTTGCTCAAGTTGAAGAAGAAAGATTGTAATGTTTTTTTTTTTTTTAGCATCATGTTTCCTTTGATAAAAAACTTATATAGAGTTTGTTTCATCACAGTTACATTTTGAAGGTCCATTGGGTACTCACCCCTTGTTGATGGCATGCCCTACTCACCATGTCATTGACATCACGAGGAGTTCAGGACCTTCAACTTCCTCTTCCTCTCCCCATGATAGACATGCCAATGATGTGGATTTCGATGTTTTGAATTCTAGGACTAGGCACCAAGGGGATAATGTTACACGTAGGAGTCCTTTAAATTCGGGGTTATGGATATTTATTGAGTTAATGGTAACAATGTGTCAGATTGTTGCCTCAATTGTTGTTCTATCTTTGTCCAAACATGAGCATCCACATGCCCCCTTGTTTGCTTGGGTTATTGGGTATGCCTCCGGGTGCGTATCCACCCTCCCTCTACTCTATTGGCGTTACTACCATAATAATTATTGTCTTTTGGAGCATAATACTTCAGGGACGCTTCTTTCCGATTCTGTGACGAATGGTGGGGAAGATGTGATAGAATATTCCAGAAGCAATCAAGATTCATCATGGTTGATGAATGCAAGGTATTGTGTTGCCATTTTGTTGTTATTTGGTTTTGCTGAAATTCAAATATTTTGATGTTCACTATTTTGTTTTGTCTCAGTATAATACTAATAAGGATGAAAACTTTAGTGGTGAATAAACTATTAAGCTATGTTTATTTGACCCTCTTTACTACTGTGGAGGATGGTTTCCAGAACATAGTGCTTATTTAGAAATTGAACATTTAGTACACAAGTTTTGATTTGGACATGTCAAATATATTTTCCTTTCAATCTAATTAGATTATGACAGTGATGAAATAATTTAGACATTAAATACATTT